GTATATAAAATAGACCAAACTCGGATATAAGAGAAACCCAGATATAAAAGAGCCGGATATAAGAGAAACCCGGATATAAGAGAGATTTTCTCTGGTCCCAAATTAGAGCCTGTGTTGATGTATATAAAATAGACCAAACCCGGATATAAGAGAAACCCGGATATAAGAGATTTTCTCTGGTCCCAAATTAGAGCCCATACTTACCTAAACAAAATAGACCAAACCCGGATATAAGAGAAACCCGGATATAAGAGACTTCTTCTCCGGTCCTGACAACTCTCTTATATCCGGGTTACTGTATATGCAATAGCGATAAAAATAATAACAAAAGTAGTTAAACATCTAGATAGACCAGACATCAAAAAATTTACATTTAAATCTGTGCGTCTCTGGACCTTTTATTTTTCGAGGCATAATTGTAACCAACGTTAGCTGTATTTCTCCCCATCTTGCGCATATATATATATATATATATATATATATATATATATATATATATATATATATATATATACTAGTAGAGCCCCGGCGTTGCCTGGGGATGTAACAGTAAGAGATAGATCAAGTATCGACCATAATAAAGACTGAAAAATAAAATTGACAAAGATTATTGTTTAAGGTTGACGGACACGCATGTCTTAATTATTTTTTTTTCTGAATTGGTCAAACCGAAACTCAAACAAAAACATTGTTTTCAATCGTTATGAGTCTACCGATTGAACAGAATTTAATTATAAACAATTGTCTTGTAAATGGAATTTTTAAAGCATTCTGAATATAAAAATAAAGAAAAAGTGTGCAAGACAATAAGAAACACTACCTGCCAAAAAAAAGTGAACTTTTGTTGAAATCGGTTGAAAAATTTAGGAAATCCGATCCCATATGTAAACGAACACACACACACACACACACACACACACACACACACACACACACACACACACACACACAACCTGGGTTTTATAATAGATATAACTCTTATTGTCCCCCTTTCATTCTCGCGATGCCTCTTAATCGTGTTTTCAAACTGATTTTGTGCAAAAACAATTGTGTTTTCCAAGGTAATTTTACGTAGTCCTGTGAAGTTTTGTTGAAATCGGTTGAAAAATGTAGGAAATCCGATCCAATATATAACCGTGCAGACACACACACACACACAGACACACACAGACACACAACCTGGGTTTTATAATAAGTATGATATATATATATGTATATATATATATATATATATATATATATATAAAATAAGACGATCAGCTGATTCTGTTACCTTGGTTTCAACCTTTTGGTATTTTCAGGCGATTTCAATCAATTGATTTCCTAAAGTTTTATTCATTCATTTTTGTTTTAAATTTAATGAAGGCTATATTATTTAAAAACAAATAAGCACACAACGTGAGGTGTGGTAGGAGGGGAGGATGAGAAGAAAAAGAAGAGTGTTGGAAATGTATCGAAGGGTGGGGGTTTTAAATGAAATATAAATACTTTCTTTTCATCCCACTTCAGACGAACTCAAAAAGAACGTTTTAGTATGCATTCAAAAGTTTTCTTTGGGGTCTGGAAATGTTATTATAGCTAACTTTTTTATTGACAAAGTTTGCAGATATTAATATGATTGTTGTAGGATTTACTTTTAATTTTCCAGTTTACAATCGGATCTTTTTAATTTTCTTATTTTAATTTCTACACATGGTTGGCAAGTCTAGTAGAATTCCTAAGACTTTATAGCTTGAAAGATGCCTTGTTTTATATATATATATATATATATATATATATATATATATATATATGTGTGTGTGTGTGTGTGTGTATGTATGTATGTATGTATATATATATATATATTAGGGCCGCCATAAAAAAAACGCGATACCTAAGGTTTAAAATGACTTTTTATAAATGAAAAATCTTTCTTGAAGCTTCTATTTTAGTTTTAATTATAAGCTTATAGATTAAATTTAATCTTTCCAACAAGAATAATACTTTGCTGTAATTGAAAAACCAAATTTAAATCACTGAAATATTTATTTATTTTTTTGTTAAAGATAATGGTAAGTTGTATGGATATAAGGTTGTAACCTTGAGTTTCACATTTTTGCGATCATCAGACAAACTTTTGTCTGATGATTGCCAAAGCGTGAAATCCAGGGTCGCAAACACATATCCATACATTATGTTAGCTCTATCACTGATGTTGAGGACTTTCCACGAAGTCCCTTGCATATAATATATATATATATATATATATATATATATATTAACAAATGGACAAAGTCCGACAATTTATTTATTAAAGACATTTTTATGTTTAACGTTCTTTTTTTATAGATACAAGTATTTAAGTAAATGCTCTGTTTATAATAAACAGTATTAAATAACATTTTAAATAACATTTTCTCGGATATTCAGGCCGGTAAATGTTATTTAATACTGTTTATTATAAACAGAGCATTTACTTAAATATTTGTATCTACAAAAAGAACGTTAAAATAAAACGTTAAACATAAATATATATATATATATATATATATATATATATATATATATATATATATATATATATATATATATATATATATATATATATATAATATATATATATATATATATATATATATATATATTTTTACATGAATCATTCATACAAAAATTCATACTAAATAATTGTTTTTGTATGAATGATTCATGTAATGTAAATTGAACTACACCACATACTTGATATATATATATATATATATATATATATATATATATCGTATAGCTGACCACTTGTATTTGAGGATAACCGTCTATTAGGGCGGTAAGTCAATCTCTGTTGCAGACTCTTGCTAAGGCAGATTTGTGTTTAGTCAACACCCACATAGCCCACCTGTGGTTTATACTGCAAATATACTGAGCAGACCTTAGTTAAAAATTCTAAGAAAAGAGCATGTTATCTAGCGTGATCATCAATTCGAACAAGGCCATCATGCTCAAGCTCTCGGTTACGATGACTAGATGCTCAGCTATCGACTACCCCCACAAATGTCCCGTTCAAAATACCCGTAGTATGGTTTTCAGGCATATCGACCACTATATATATATATATATATATATATATATATATATATATATATATATATATATATAATAGGAAAGATCAGTTAGATTAATGATCCCAAGTTGTATATATATATATTTATATATATATATATATATATATATATATATATATTGGGATCATCATTTCTAACTATTCTTTCGTATTACATTAACATATATATATATATATATATATATATATATATATATATATATATATAATAGGAAAGATCAGTTAGATTAATGATCCAAGTTGTATATATATATATATATATATATATATATATATATATATATATATATATATATAAATAAATAAATAAATATATATATATATATATATATATATATATATATATATATATATATATTGATGTAAAGAAAGAACAGTTAGATTAATGATCCCAAGTTATATATATATATACACGTTTACATCTAGCCATTTCAACTATAAAATGATGAGACCTTGTTGCCAATCAAGTACTGCGCTTAAATTCATTGAATCTAGAAACCATACAAGCAAGTCCATCCGAATAATTGCCAAGGCAGAGGGAAGCTACGTTACGCCGGTGGCAAAGTGACCGAGGCTGTGATGCCAGAACATGATCAATAACATTACGTTGCACAGAGCGACTAAACGAATATATTGTAGAAACGAAAGATGTAAATGAGGATACCGTGGATGATGAAAATTTCAATATTGAAGGATTTTGAACAATTTAACAAAATTATGTCTTAAAAATGGCAGGTGAGGATGAAGGTTACTGTTGGGTTGTTGTTTCTTTTCAATTGTTATAGTTGAAGATGTAAAAGATTGCAAAAGATTAAAATGTGGAAGAATTGCATTTTTTAAAAAAAAAAGAGCACCTCTCGATTTAACTCTTCCCCTTGTTAAGCCTCCCTCCCTTCAAACGACATTTTAAAAATAAGCGCGCCACTCGATTTAGAGATCCGCCTCGATTAAGCGACCCTCATAAGAGACATTTTTTTTAAAACGATGGGTTCTCGATTAAGCGCCCCCTTTTACAATTTTTAAATAAGCACCCCTCAGATTTTTAATTCGATATTTAGTGCCCACTGAATTGAACCCCCCACATCAACGACATCTTTAAATAAGCAGCCTTCTCGATTATACACTCCACCTCAATTAAGCACCCTTCAACCGACAATTTTTTTCAGTAACCACCCCCTCTAGAAAGGAGCTTGACATCTAGATTGATCTGCATTCCTAGTCTATCCTCTATTACTGTTCGGATCACCATGTCTATTCTATCCTCTATTACTATACGGAGCGCTATTCTCTACTCTATTCACTATACTATTTCTCTATTCGAATTCCTATTCGGTGGTTACTATTCGAGCGAGCATTATCGAGCAAGTACTATTAGTGCGAGTGATATTCGAAGGCGTCTGACACCAGTATTGTTCAACGGCGTTACTATAGTTGTATCTGCGATTACAATGTCTCTACTACAACAAGCATTACAAAAGTGACAACGAGTATTCGTTGACATCACAAAACTAAGTTTTGCTTGCGCACATGCTGGGTTATGTTTAGCGAGATATTCTAAACGAAGGTTACTACTGCGAAGTGAGTTCAATCACTCATTCTATATTAGTGGTCTTTTGCTAGGCTTAAACTCGGCTTAATTTAAACTTCGGACTCCTCCCCGTGGAGTAATTCTTCGGTTGATAGTCGAGCAAACTATGACTACTTCTCAGATTATTGATCAAGAATGACTTCAAGCATTTGTGTTTTAACGAAGTCAAATCCTTCATCAGATCCTATACGTAGGCGCTACAAAATCAAAAACAATGAGCTTTAACAAAAACCACATCACTTGAAGACTTCCAACAGCAGCAATAACAAAAAAAAACTCCACATTAACTTAAACAAAAGGTTAGGAAGGAAACTCCAATCAAACTTGAAGGAGCGATAGAAATTTGTAGGCTTGAGAGAGAGAGAGAGAGCGACAGAGACAGAGAGAGACAGACAGACAGCTAGAAAAACAAAAAAGTGAATGGAGAATCGTGAAGAACGAAGAAGAGATTAAATAATATTGAAGAACGAAAGAATGGAATGAAAAATATTTAAATACGATCAAAATGAAAAATATTAGAGAACAAAAGAAATGAATGAAGAATAGGGAAGAACTGAGCAAAAAGATAGATAGATAGATAGATAGATAGATAGATAGATAGATAGATAGATAGATAGATAGATAGGAGGGAGGGAGGGAGAGAATGAACAGATAGATAGATAGATAGATAGATAGATGAGAATGACAAGGAATGAATTGAGAGAGAATATAGAGAAAAACAAAAAAAAAAGACAAACGTTTCGAGATATATATTAAGGAAAGGAGATAGATAGATAGATAGATAGATAGATAGATAGATAGATAGATAGATAGATAGATAAACAGCCTAGTATGAATATGACGTAAATGATTAATACGAATAGGTTGAGATAGGAACAGACTGGGATAGATAGGACTATACCGAATTAGATTAGATTAGATAGATAGATAGATAGATAGATAGATAGATAGATAGATAGATAGATAGATAGATAGATAGATAAGAATGACAACAAGGAATGGATTGAGAGAGAATATAGAGAAAAACAAGGAACAAAGACAAACGTTTCGAGATATATATTAAGGGAAGGAGATAGATAGATAGATAGATAGATAGATAGATAGATAGATAGATAGATAGATAGATAGATAGATAGGAGGGAGGGAGAGAAGGAACAGATAGATAGATAGATAGATAGATAGATAGATAGATAGATAGATAGATAGATAGATAGATAGATAGATAAACAGCCTAGTATGAATATGACGTAAATGATTAATACGAATAGGTTGAGATAGGAACAGACTGGGATAGACAGTACTATACCGAATTAGATTAGATTAGATAGATAGATAGATAGATAGATAGATAGATAGATAGATAGATAGATAGATAGATTATTTACGATTTGTTTTATATAAAGGAAGGGTGCTCAATGTTGGAGAAAGAAAGTTTGGAGATCTAGGCAGTATGGACAGTGGCTTGAAGCTCGGTGTTTGGTGTGAAACTGACAGTTACTATCTATGCTTAATTCCTATGTGCACAGTATATATATCTATATATGTGCATTGATGTGTGCACGCGTTGTACCAGACAAAGACAGACTCCATAAATAACAGCTTTAATATGAAATGAATTGTGTCTTTTATAATAATGAGCAGATAACGGAAATCTGGATCTTCTGCTACATCCTGAAGACTGAAGAAAATTGATTAATTTCGAAAACTGAAAGGACGAATGAAAATAGTTCGCAGCGTCGGCAACAGGAAGTCGTAAATTTTAAATTTATTTGACGGGTTGCAAAATAGTTGTAGCAATAATAAAAGCAGAAATAAAATGAAAGCTAACAAGCTAATAATGATAGCAATGATAATTGTAATGGAAGAAAAACAATAAAGCAAAAATGACGACGAAAATAAAAAAAAAAAAAATGCTACAAAAAAAGAAAAAAAACACTCGTCTTTAAAAATTCTACAAATTCCCGTGACAATAAATTTACTATTAAGACGATGATAAATTAAGATGTGCTGTTAAGGCTTATCGAGCCAGAAAGTGGAATCGGCAAAGTTCAAATTCTATTCTAGTCTATCCCGTTCACTAATACCCGTGAGAAAAGCATTAAACCATTTCTTCTCCCCCACCCATGGCTTAAATAACAGTTCAATATGGGTCCGGGAGTATTTTTGTAGGGCGATAATACAATTAAAATGCAACAGGTTACTGGGAGTTGAACAGAATGAGAAAACTTTAGTGAGGAAAAGGACAATAACAGAACAGTTAACAGGAAGACAAGATGGCGTCTGACGTTGCATTTAAACCTGTGGGGAATTTGGGTGGCAGGGAAAAAATAAACTGGAAGAGATTTCCACAGGTGAGAAGTGCGAGTAAAGAAATAATTAGAATAGAACATAACTTACATTTAACTATTTTAACAGTAAAACTATGGGACCTATTTGTCAATCAAGTAGTACATTTAAATTCATGGGGAAGAGGTACAAAGGAGGAAATCTTATTAAAAATCAGTGTAAATGAAGTACAACTCCAGATTCAAGACCATGGAGAAAGAAATGTAAAACCACTCCACTATATTTCCCATATATTAGCGTTTAGGGAAAATGAAGTTAAACCAATAAATAAAATAATAATAATGAATAAAAAATAAATAAATTCATTTTCTCACGATGTTATAAGGAAACCGTTAAGGGCTTCTGGGCACATGTGCGATTTTATAACTCCAATATCAGAAAGGACGGAATATTTCTTTTTCTCCTCTTGTCATCTAGATGTGAACCTCGCAGTAATGGCGTTCCCACTGGGGAGACTGGTTTTTTTTACACTGACCAACGACATCGTTGTACGTGTTTTAGCAGTCATACTCATGAATTAGACGCTCGATCTTCCCAACTCAGCACGTAGTTGACTTGTGCTCGACCATCTTTACCCGTTCGTATCCTTAATTCCCATAAATTAATTCAGAATCAAAAAGGAAAACAGACATACTTGGTCCTCCCAACTCAGCGCTAGGCTGACTTGAGCTCGACCATCTTTACCCGTTCGTATGCTTACTTCCCATGAATCATTTCAGAACAAAAAGATAAACGGACATACTCAAGGGACTATTTGCTTCAATAGTCAACATACAAGAAATAAATGTCCGCAACAGAAAGTCAAGTTCTTTCGTATGTTTATTCTATCTTCTTTGTTTACATATTGAACACGCACCTTCACCTAAAAATACACAGAAACTCAGAACCCGTTAACGTCCACAAGAATAAAGGACACTGGAGATGTATGGCTATGTCATAAAGAAATGGAATTCATTGGCAGATAATTTTTAATACAAGATCAATGAGAAAGAAGATAGAAAAAGAAAAGAGACGATTCATTAAAATAAATAAAATAGAAGGTGACAGAAATGAGAAAGAAGCATTGAAAAATGAACCTTCAAGAAGCTAAGCAAAGTATTAATAAACAGAAACATTTCGTTAGAAACAAAGAGTAGTGAACTGTCATGTAGTAACTTATGTGATACTTCATGCAGCACAATCACCTCGCAGGATAAGATGAGATTTGTAGCAACAGAAATGTGGTTCTACAGAAGGATGTTGAGAATACCATGTAACTCACATGTGAACAAGACGCAGTTTTAGAGAAAATGGAAACAAAAAGGACATTCATACTTAACATTTGGATACAGTTGAAATTTCTAGGACACATAATGTGAAAAAAAAAATGACGTGGAAAATCTGACAGTCACAGGGCAGATTAAAGGCAAAAGGGATTAACGTAATATAACTCATAACCTACATAAAGAGTTTAAGAAAATTGATAGCAGAACAGGATTTAGGAGAGACAATAAAATTTATTGAGAAGGACAAAGGGTCTGTCTATATTTCTGAGATGAGGTATTATGTACATTATTTACATTATTCGGACTATTCTCCCCATCTTTGTCGCCATATTTATCACAACGTTTCGGCCGTTGTACGCACCGGCCTCCTTCAGGTGGTTGGAATGTCGAACTGAACCCTTTATTTCGCTCACTGGGGTAGACTGTTCTAGTTCCACATGTTTGATGGATGTCAGTTATCAGTTATCTCCTGCTAATTTTCCCTCTGAAAGTTCTCCACTTAAGCTAGAAAGGACATTGCATCTCCTGAGCCGACCAAGCATAGAAATAAATACAATATGGGAACCAGTAATAAGAAGTGCCAGAGAAAAGCAATGATAACAACAAAGTTGCAATATGAGATCTGGTAAAAACATGCAATGATAACAGCAAAATTACAATATGAGCACTGGTAAAAATAGATATTAGGTTTATAATACCCAGAAATTCATACCCAGATGTCTTCAAGAACACATGGCACAGTGGATAAAGTCGTTGGTTAGTGACTGGAGCCAAAGAGTGTACGTTCAATAACTGGTTAAGGCAGTGGAGAACTTGCAGAGGGGCATTAACAGGGGATAAAGGCTTCAGTTCGAAATTGCAACGGCCGAAACGTTGTGATAAATATGGCGGCAAAGATGAGGACAATATATTAACAAATTAACCGATCGATTTCATATTTACGGCTGATTTCCGTATTTCAGATTGATTTCTATATTTACATTCAGACAGTTTTCTTCATCTTTTTTTTTTTTGTAGTTATTACAACGTTTCAGCCATTGTGCCTTCCAGCCTTCATCAAGGAATAAAAGTTTAGGAGATATAACAAAAGACAACATTTATTAAGCGCTAGAAAGGACATGAATTCTGGAGATGTACAAGAGGAGCAACAGACCAGATATTCTTTAACCAAGTTCACCCCATGCAAAGGAATGAAGCCACTAAAACACAAGGGGTTTACAGAGCGTGGAAGAATTAGGAACAGAAATATTAATAAGGAACGGGAAGAGAAAAGACGATAGTAGATAGCGATTGACATGGCATTTAAATTTTTGAAGATTAAAGTTGGCTGGAGAGAATAGAGCCGAAAGGAGGTTCCACAAGCGATGAGTACGAGAGAAGAAACTGTTAGCATAGAACTTACGTCTGCATCTAGACAGCTTAGCCGTAAATTGATCAGATCTCAACATCAGTCTAGTCAATCATGTGCCATGCGTGATACACGCTTAGTCGATATATGACTAACGAGGCAATTTTTTTCCCGCAGTAGGTTGCTTTTCTTTCTACGGTAGACCAGTTGGCAGCCAATGCTATAGAACCCGGTCTGTCCTGCTATTTACCCATAGCTGGGAGTGGGGAGAAGAAGAAGAAGATTCATACCTTTCCCAAGGGTATTAGCACGTAAGTGAATGTAATGGATTCAACTGGAATTCGAATTCGGCTCTCCAATTCCTCAGTCCAAGCCGCTATCCATTACTCTACCGTGATAGTAAATTCCAAAAGTCTAGGTAGCATAGTGAAGAACTGATTCGAAGAGTTACCATAACAGTATTTATAGAAAAGGCACAGGGAGGCAAGCTTACGGTGGTAAAGGATCGATTATATTGCTGATAGCTTTTTGGATTTTATCAAGGAGCTCTACATAAATATCAGGAGCATGGAGCCATTAGAGGCAGCAATATTTTAAGCATGGACGAATTGTAGATTCTGGAGAGAAAAATTGTAGATTCTGGAGAGAAAAATTGTAGATTCTGGAGAGACAATTGTTTCGGACGACACAGTAAGCCAATTTATGGCGACTATTCAATGCACAAGATCAATTCCGACTAGAAACTTTTTTTCTGGTAGTGAACCAAAATTCTTTGCTTAGACATGGAAATTGATTCGATATAGCCGCCCAATTTTATATAAGTAGAAAATGGGAGGTTGAGAAGTCATACAGTGTTGTTCAATTCTTGAAACTTTCTGACCTGGAAATTAGTTACGATTTCTGATTGAGAAAAACAACGAGCAACCTACATAGCGAGCTTAACAAGGTTTAGGAGAGATAAAGAATACAAAAATATTAAGATCTACAAAAGATAGGAAATTGTGGAGAGCCATGATCGCCAACGTCCTAAAGGGACATAGGATAAAAAAGATGAATGAGCTGAAAGGATGGTGGAACAGGGTTTAGGAGAGATAATAAAAAATGCACAATTCATTAAAAGCTACAAAGTATAGAAAATTGTGGAGGGCCATGATCGCCAACGTCCTAAAAGGACACGGCATAAAGAATTATGAGCTTGCGTAAATGGATGGTGGAACAGGGTTTAGGAGAGATAAGAAAAGAACAAAATTTATTAAAAGCTACAAAGGACAGGAAATTGTGGAGAGCCATGATCGCTAACGTCTTGAAGGGACACAAGAAGAAGAAGAAGAAGAAGAATGAATATGAGTGAATGGTGGAACAGGGTTTAGAAGTGATAATATAAAGACAACATTTATTAAGTACTACAATGGATAGGAAATTGTGGAGAGCCACAAACAAAAAATTAATCGAAATCGGATGAAAACTATGGAAATGCATGAACAACATTCGATCAAACACACACATACACATACATACACACACATTTTGAGAATTATAGATATAGATTCGTATATGACATTAATCAACGTTTGTTAGATAAAAAGATTAACTGACAGATTAAAAGGGATAAGGGAAAGAATGAGAAGACACAGTCAGTTGATGAGGGAATAGTCGACATATTAAATATGGGATAAAATATTTGTAGCTTATTTTATGTCCAGTTTCCCTTCAGGGCACATAGCCTATCAAGGCTCTCCACGACTTCTTATCCCTTTTTTTGCCTCATCATGAAAGTTAAAAATAACATTAAGAAAACCGTATTTCTCGGCCTTCCGGATGGTATCAAAGTGTTGTATCTGTTCTCTTGCTCGTAAAACTGTAGAAGCCGGATTGCCGTGGCAGCATCTTCCTTATTGCTTAAAAGAGAAAGGGTTAGTGAATATAATGACGCCATCGAGGACTGAGCATTTTTGTCCATGACCTCTATATACGGCACCCCACCTTAAGCTGACCTTGTGTCCCGTTCTAGAGGTAGACAGACACCATCAAAATTTCTTCTTCTTCTTCTTCTTCTTCTTCCTCCTCCTCCTCCTCCTCTTCTTCTTCTTTTTCTTCCTCCTCCTCCTCTTCTTCTTCTTCTTCCTCCTCCTCTTCTTCTTCTTCTTCTTCTTCTTCCTCCTCCTCCTCTTCTTCTTCTTTTTCTTCCTCCTCCTCCTCCTCCTCCTCCTCTTCTTCTTCTTCTTCTTCTTCCTCCTCCTCTTCTTCATCTTCTTCTTCCTCCTCCTCCTCCTCTTCTTCTTTTTCTTCCTCCTCCTCCTCTTCTTCTTCTTCTTCCTCCTCCTCCTCCTCTTCTTCTTCTTTTTCTTCCTCCTCCTCCTCCTCCTCCTCTTCTTCTTCTTCTTCTTCTTCTTCTTCTTCTTCTTCTTCTTCTTCTTCTTCTTCCTCCCTCCTCCTCTTCTTCTTCTTCTTTTTCTTCCTCCTCCTCCTCCTTCTCTTCTTCTTCTTCCTCATCCTCTTCTTCATCTTCTTCTTTTCTTCCTCCTCCTCCTCCTCCTCTTCTTCTTCTTCCTCCTCCTCTTCTTCTTCTTCTTTTTTCCTCCTCCTCCTCCTCCTCTTCTTCTTCTTCTTCCTCCTCCTCCTCCTTCTTCTTCTTCTTCTTCTTTTTTCCTCCTCCTCCTCCTTCTCTTCTTCTTCTTCTTCCTCCTCCTCCTCCTCCTCCTTCTTCTTCTTCTTTTTCTTCTTCTTCTTCTTCTTCTTCTTCTTCTTCTTCTTCTTCTATGCGCTACGCCCCAAAGGGACATAGGCGAACATGGCTCTCCACAATTTTCTATCCCGTGTGATGTTCTTTTTACTTTACTTCGTTCCGCCATCCATTCACACAACCCCGTTAGGTAAATGACCCGCTGCCTTCCCCTGGCTCTCTTGTTCTCAATATGCCCTGTGAGGGTTACGTTTTCCAAGCCTTCCTTCCTCACTGTGTCCAAGGAATTTGAACAGTGTCTATGAATTTTCAGGACGCTTCTGGATAACCACATTTCTGCTGCATCAAGTTTTTCCTCATCCTTGCGGAAATTGTCCAACCTCTTTTTTACAGGCGGAATGTGGCGAGCCTCTCACTTTCCATGGAAAGTGCTCGGACGAACTACATTCCTTGGTTCTGCAAGGTCTAACTTTCACGACTAGGACCCACCATACCACTTACATAGTAGCATACAACTCACATTCCCCCAAATTCGGATCCATCGGCGAGAAGTAAGTTTCAGTCGAAAAGACTCCCAAGAGGATGTTTCCTCAGTCAGTGCAATCTTAACCTGTTAAAGTTAACCGTTATCTTCCCCTCCTATCCATATAAACTACCCTTTAACGTAACCCTCTACCTCGAGGGCCCGCGTGCCTTGTACTGGCGGAACCTTACTGTAAAAAAT